GCAGTCCATGGTACGGCCAATCTTCCTTGCCAGCACCACTATTCAAATGTATTCATTCTTCTCCTGTCTTCCTTACTCACCGTGTAGCATTTTCAGGCAACCGAAAATGCCATGACTTGGATCCGGTGCACCTTTGTGCTCAGAGTGACGTCTTTATTCACAAGTTGTTGGTGTTCGGTGTCATCGCGTCATCTCGCACCCACAGGGGTCCTCTGCACACAGAGGATCGTTTTTGCAGCCACTGTGCCAATCCACCTCACCGAGGGGCTTTCTCTTCTCGCTGCCCCTCTGCTTGACCAAGCAGGATGTCCTGCTCCAGGGACTGGTCTCTCCTGCCCACACGTCCAAAGTGTGTAAGACGAAGTCTTGCCATCCTGGCCTCTAAGGGAGACGCTGGCCATACTGCTTCCAAGGCAGGTTCTTTGTCCTCTGGCAGATCCTCTTTCTCTCAGTAGTCCTCACCAGCACCACAAGTCGAATGCATTGATTCTTCTTCGGGCCAACTGTCACCGGGCATGAGGCAATGATCACAAGGGGGTGGCTTACAAACAGAAATTTGTTTCCTCACACTTTGGGAGGCTAGACGTCTGTGTTCAGAGTGTGACTCTAGGGCATAGGTTCTCAAACTTACTTGTCCTACTACACCCTTAAAAAATGACTCGGGGGTCCCCCGCAATTACACATTGTTGTATGATCGCCCACATTCCAGGATAAAGTGAAGGGATCTGCTTTTGCAGCCCTCGCATGCCTGGTTGTTCCAGCCCCCTCCAGAGGAAGGCTCCCCTTGGGAAACAGCGCTAGGGAGAAGGCCTCCTTGGTTTAGTTCAGCTTCTAGTTGTCCTGGTTCCTTGGTGATCTTCACGCATCTAATCCCCCTCGGCTGCTCAGCCCCACTTGTGTTTCCTTGTCTCCAACTTTGCACTACTCTTTTTAGAAAAAGCATTTTATTGAGGGCTCGTACAACTCTTATCACAATCCATCCATCCATCCATTGTGTCAAGCACAATTGTTGCCCTCATCATTTTAAAAACATTTGCTTTCTACTTGAGCCCTTGGTATCAGCTCCTCATTTTTTCCTTCCCTCCCTGCCCCCTTTCCTATGAACCCTTGATAAGTTATAAATTATTATTATTTTGTTATGTCTCCCAGTGTCCGACGTCTCCTTTCACCCACTTTACTGTTGTCCATCCCCCAGGGAGGGGGTTATAGGGAGATCCTTGTGATTGGTTCCCCTTTTCTATCCCACCTTCTACCCTCTACCCTCACCACTGGTCCTGAAGGGATCACCTGTCCTGGATTCCCTGTTTCCAGTTCCTATCTATACCAGTGTACATCCTCTGGTCTAGCCAGATTTGTAAGGTCGAACTGGGATCATGATAGTGGGGGTGGGGGGGCTTGGAGAGGAAACATTTAAGAGGTAGAGGAAAGTTGTATGTTTCATTGTTGCTACACTGCACCCT